TTCAACAACTATTTACGAAATGCTTACTATCTGCTGGGCTCCATGCCAGACAGGCAGGAAGCAGCTGAGATTGTACAAGGTCACTGTCCTTACAGAGTTTCTGTTCTTGGCACTGGGAAGTCGGAGGATGGCTGTAATTCAAAGGATGACTTTAGCAGAAAGGACCGATGACAGGAAGATTATTTACCAACATTGTTATCATTCACTCATGAGATGGTGGGAACAGAAGCCCTGGACCTGTTTAGCTAATCCATCATTCCTGAAACCACATTGTTCATGCCTTCCTCATCACGCAGCATCTCCCAGGAATGACACTCTTGTCAGGGTAATCTCATCAAAAATGTGCTAGCCTGCCTTTACATTGAATGTAGAAGATTCATAGTGACAGCGACAGAAATGACTATAGCAAACCTAACACAGTCCTTGAGACTGTGACCAGCCAGCATCCCGCCCCTGTACCCATGCTACTGCGGCTTTCCTTGCCATCGTGAACTTTAACCCTCTGGAACCACAAGCTAAAATAAACTCTTTCTTCCTTACATTGCTTTTGATAATGTTATTTTGTCACAGTAACAGAGAAGGAATTAATACATTAGCGTACAGGGACAAACCGATTTTTATATGCTGGTTAGATATGTTACAAAACTTGCAGAATTATTTATTTCGAAGAGTTTGAGTGAGATCTTTGAGTTTTGTATGTTTATGCCACCAATAAACAATAGCATACTTTCTTTCCGGTTTGGATGTCTATTATTTCCTTTTCTTGCCTAATATTTTTTGAATAGAATAAATCTCATTTTTTTTCAGTAATTTTGAGATGGAGTCCCATGTACCTGAGGCTGGCCTCAAACTCACTGTGTAGTTGAGCCTAACTTTGTGCTTACCATCTTCCTGCCTCCACTTCCCAAGTCCTGGGATGACAGGCATGTGCCACCATGACGTGTTTTGTGAAGTAGTAGGGACTGAGCCCAGGGTTTCCACATGCTAGCCAAGCACTCTGCCAATTCTGGAGAGATTCCAGTGCTGTTTGGATGGAAGCAGGAAGAGTTGGCATCCTCGCCTCACCCCCGTCTTAGAGAGTGTGATAGCCACTGCACACTTCTCACAGAAGGTACCGAGAGAATTCTTCCTGCTTGTCAAGAATTTTGTCAGGACGATATGTCAATTTTTTCCCAGTGTTCTTCATGTCATTTTTAGCCTCCATGCTCTTTTATCATCTCCATTGATTTGTATGTCTTATAATGGAATTTTACCTTGTATTTACATCGTTTGTTTATTTATTCAACAAATTGTTGAATGTATCAATGTTTTAGTTTATTATGAGTCTTACCCATAATAGATCTCAAATATATCATCTGGGAGGTCTGCTGAATAATGCAAACACAGTAGCCTTTTTACTTTGCTTTTCCTATTCTGACCACTGCCCTCCATGTCTGAGTGCTCGCTTTCACCTTGACTCCATCCAGGCCAGAGAAACAGTCTTAATTTAAGGGACTGGAAAGTAATGAAATATGTGGGGGTTTTTAATTAAAGCTTTTTTGGGTCATTCATTATATTTGATCCACTGTTTATAAACAGACATTGCAAACTACAGAAGTAACTAGACAGAATCTTAAAATGATGGCAACTGTTTTCATTTTCACTCTCTCAAGTAATAAGACATCAGAAGAATCATGACAGATGTCTCAGAGAATATCTGCTTTGGGGGGAGGGCAGATGTGTATATGTGTGTGTATAGTGTGTGTACGGACCTGTCAGTAGGTGCACATGCACATATGTGCTTGTATATGCATGTAGAGGTCAGAGTTCAACATCAGGTGTCTTCCAGGCACTCTACACCTTATGTTTTGAGTCAATGTCTCTCACTGAGCCCGGAGTTCACCAATTCAGCAAAACTACCTGGCCGGCAAGATCCACGGACCCTCACATTGCTGTCTCCAGGGCTAGGGCTGCAGGGCATGTGCCCCCACATCCAACTTTTTAATGTGTGTGTTGGGGGTAAAATCTCAGGTTCTCGTGCTCCTGTGGGAAACACTACCTAATGAGCCCTCTCCCTAGCCGCTTTAAATCAAATGAGTATGCAGTCAATCTAGAAATATTAATGATTGGTAAGTTTCCTATCTGTAAGTAACAACTAACAGGAAATATGGTGTTATTTGACATCAAAATGAATTGTTTGGAAATATACAAACTCTGTATGGTCCAAGGCTTAAAACACTGTATGGTAAATGGGATATCGATGAGATCTGCCCTGTACTATTCTAACTGTTCAACCTTTCAATGTTCACTGTGTGTGGATTCCCTTTCCAGAATCAAGTGTGAACAGCACACACTGGTCAATGCGTGGGAAGACTTTCAGGAGTAGCTGGAGAGCAAAGCGAAATGCGGAATTTCTCCTTCCTGACACTAGGTGGCAGAACATACACAATTTGACTTCACTCTGGGCTCTGGAGAGCTGAGGAAAGAAAATGATTCAAGTCTCCTAGAAGGAACCCCAGGCTCCATGCCTGGGAGCTTCTTTCTGGCCATAAGGGGAACACTTTTTTCATATTTAAAGCATATTTAGATTTATTACTTTAAAAAATGGTGCTCAGAGAAACTTTGGCAACTCCAAGAACTTAGCTATATTTTCAAACATTTCATCCCCAAAGAAGGAACATGAATTAACCAGTTATGCACGGACTTGATGGCAGAGCCAGGAAGCTCTCGGGTCTCCTGACCATCCGTGCCAAAAGCAGATACCATGGCCCGTGTCTTGAAACAGTTATGGATTTTGCTTTTAAATTATGATCCCAGCACCAGCATCTGCATGGGTGAGGCAGGAAAATTGCCACAAGTTCAAGGCCAACCTGGGGTAGGTAGTGAGTTCCAGGCCAGGACTACAAAGCTCCCCTTGCCCCAATACACACACAAAAACAGTAACTTTAGATCCTTCCTCTCTGCCTCATGGAGCTAAGGATGAGCCTGGAGTTGCTAAAAGCATTACTAGTTTAGATATAATTCTGACGGTCCACATGACGGTCCATTTGCTCAATGGGCTTTTCTGCAACACGAGTCCTGTATTGTTTCTGCTTTTAAGACTACTCATGTCACACTCGACATGTCATGGCGTGTTTCCCCGTGTCTCGTTACTTCCTGTTTCTCTGGTCTAACGGGTCAATCCCGCTGGTCTAACGGGTCAATCCCACTTCACGCCTTTTGTTGTCCAGAGAACATTCTTCTTCCTTCTTTCAGTTTAGGGGGCTTCTTCCTTGGTGCTCACAGCAGAGGTCAGCTGCACAGCGGGGGCAAAGCCTGGCACTGCATTTCCCCCAGGCCGTTTTCTGTCCGGCTGTGCTACCACTGGGCTCCAGGAAAGGTGGCAGTGTCTCCATTACAGGTTAAACCAACCTCAACTTCCGTTCAATCCCAGGAACAGGCTGGAATGTGTGTTTGTTAGCTGCATACCGTCCTCGTCCTCGCTTGATCCCCCAGAGGATCGCTGGAGTGGCCTAAATCTCCCCTCTGAGACATCCCATAGTTATATGCCCTGTCTGATAGTTACAGCTGATTTCTCATCTTTCTTTGAACTCTAGCGTTCACAGTTGCTGCATCCGAGTTATTGTGCTGGTCTTTACTATCAGTTCCCCTTTAAAAAAAAAAAGATTGATTTTTATTTTATCTTTATTTGTATGTGTGTACGGGTGGTCTCAGACCAGAAGAGGGCGTCAGATCTGCTCAACTGGAGTCACGGGCAATTGTGAGCTTCCCGAAACAGGGGCTGGGAACTGAACTCAATTCCTCTGCAAAAGCAGCAAGCTTTTCATTGTTGAGCCATCGCCCCACCTCCAAAATCCCTTTCTTCAACCTTCCGAACTCCCGGCTTTGAATTTGGCGCCTCTGTCGCCCCAACTCTGAGACAATATATTTTATTGTTTTCATATTTGCTGCTGGTAAAATAAAATATTCCTGAAAAAAACATAGACCTGGAGTTTAAGAACAGGAACCAAGGAACTTGAGTTTGGATCATGTGTTGGATAGTTTTCTGTCAACTTGACGCAAGCTAAAAGCACCTGATGGGGGAAACCTCCTCAGTTAAGAAAATGCCTCCGTGAGGCTGGGATGTAGGCAAGTCTATAGAGCATTTTCTTAGTGATTGATGGGAGAAGGCTCATTCCATTGTGGGTGGTGCCGTTCCTGGCCTGCTGGTCCTGGGTTCTATAAGAAAGCAGGCTGAGCTAGTCATGTGGAGCAACCAGTAAGCAGCACCCCGCCATGGCCTCTGCATCAGCTTCTGCCTTCAGGTTCCTGCCCTGCTTGAGTTCCTGTCCTGGCTTCCTTCAGTGACGGACTATAATGTGGACATCTAAGTCAAATAAACCGTTTCCTCCCCAACTTGCTTTTAGGTCCTGGTGTTTCATCAAAGCAGTAGAAACCCCAACTGAGACAGATGGAATGCAGACTGCATCAGCTCCCCACTCAGTGCTGGACTCCTGAATGAACTACGCCATTCTGCTTCCCAGTTACAACTCCGCAAACATTTGCTGGTGGTTACCGGTTTCGGTCCCAGGCTCTGTGTTACTGGTTCCTGCCATTGTTCCTCCTGTAGTATTCATTGTTCTGATCCTTCTCTGCCCTGGCCGTTGGATGTTTGTGTGATGGTTGGTTCTGTTGTCGACTTGACAGGATGGAGGGGTCGCTAGGGATCAGGACGGCACGTGTCTGGACGTGTCTGTGACAGTGTCTCCCGAAACAAGCAGACCGGAAGGTCTGATGTAGTGAACAGATTAGTCCGTGATAAAATCATAATCTGATAGTGTACAACGAGGTGTTGAAAGTGGGGGTGGGATCTAGCTGGAGGAAGTGAGTCGGTGGGGGTGCCCCTGGGGTCTCGATTTCCCAGTACCCCACCTCTCTCCCTGCTTCCCAGCCGCCATGATGATGTGAGCTGTCCCGTCACAATGGACTGGGTCGTCTAAAAATGTGGGCCGAGATACGCAATCCCCTCAAGTTGTTTGCTCGGGTGTTCTGCCACAGCCGCAAGAGAAGTGACCAACACTTTGCTGCAGTCTGGTTTGTCCACATTATTTCATCTTTAGGAAAAAAAATCCCATCTATAAAGTAAACCAAGTGTGGGCCAGGGCCTCGCCCAGCTGGAGAACTAGACCTCCCTGCCTCAAGGACACCTCAGCGGGAGGAGCAGACCAAGGGGTGGGCTGTCAGCTGCGGAGCTGATGACTCCAAGTGTGGGGTGGGAAGAAAAAGAGGCTGGAGAGATCCTGCTGAAGGTGGACGCCCACACTCCCACGCTGCCTCCTTCATTAAACACTTCTGCTTTCCGCTTTACACTTTGCTTTTTCTCTTCTATTTCTAGCTTTATTGCTAAAAGATGATTTTGTCATTACAAAATAATTAACATGGAGCCTGTGGCAAGGGACACTCTTGAGTGCTGAGCCCCCCTCCTTTCCATGCTTAGGTGCTGAGGGCCTCAAAGCCACTGATTTTACCACTACTGTGAACCTCCAACTATGGAACTCAGGCAAATTGGAGCATCCACATGGGTGAGTTTTATGCCCATAAGTGCAAAGCGATTCACTGGTGGCGCCGGGGCACAGCTCTGACCCTTCCTTTCCTATCATTCCCTTCTCTTTTCCGTTACTTTGCTCCGTTCTGTTACCACAGATTACAAAACTGAAATGAAGAAATTCACATGCTCAGTGCCAAAGCATGAAGCCAGGGGCCGCATCTGCATTGCACAATTGCCTTGTAGGTGCTGTGGAAAGACAGCTATGTGCACACCGCCCTTGACACAACATCTGGGGTGAGGCAAATCTGCATCCGTGTCTAAACCTCACACATACGGAGCTTTCTCACTGATGATTTAAAAGTGACCAGTTATCGATTACAGAAAGCCGGTCGGTGCGTATTTGAAGAGCCTGTGACTCTCAGCTGGAGCCATGGGGCAGAATAATTTTAATGAACGAAGAAGGTATGAAAGGGAACTTTCTGGAACCAGAGCCCCGGAACAGAAGCTCACATTGTCAGGGTTGTGAGTTTAAGTCTTCAGTCTTACCAGACTGAGTTAGAGCCGCAGGCAGCCTCTGGGGTAACCAGGTTCAGTTAAAGTATGCGATTTTCCCATTTGCAAAGCAGAATGACTGCTTGACTCTTAACACTCGGCCCTTTTGTGAGCCCTGCACCTACTTCCTGTGTGGCCATGCCTCCTTTAGACATGCGTTGCATGCAGCGTTGCATGCAGCACCACCAAAAGAGTCAAGATTCCTGACTCCTCTCACCACAAGAAGGAAGGACTGCAGAATGTTAGGATCCCGTGCTGCGGGCAGGACATGACCGCCGCCATCTTGAAATCAGGGCAGCTGTGATGACAGCTGTCATTAAAGACCGGGACTGCTAAGTCCCCATGGAGAGGGGAGAGTATTCAGAAGGGGCACATGCGGCCCCGCCCCTCTCCAGGATCTCCAGGCAGTTACTATTTTCAAGGGGCAAAGGATAGCACCCCTCCTCAGTGGTATAAGTGCCTGTGAGTTGTCGCTGCTCCTGGAAACAGCCTCTTACTCAGGGTCCTAGAAGGAATCACAATTGAAGCCACCAATTAGATAAATCCAACTCGAGTGGAATTGTTTCTCATATGTCACTGATGCCCGAGTAGATTTGGAGGTGTTTGTTCAGATCACCCCAGGTACTGTATTAGTTAGTTAGTTAGTTAGTTAGTTAGTTAGTTAGTTAGTTAGTTAAGAGCTGGTCTCACATTGTAACTCAAGCTAGCCTGGAACTCACTATGTAGCCCAGGCTGATCCGTAACAATTCTTCTACCAGAGCCTTTCAAATATGTTAATGTTATCCCATAATTCTGCTGCTAATATATTGAGTGTCTAGCCTACATGTAAGCACACTATGGAGAAATGCAGATGACTTCAAAGCAGCAGATAGGAAAAGTGTAAAGCTCGAAATGACCCAACAAAGGTGCCCTTTTAGCATTGTTGAAGCTGAGCTACACTACAAGAAAGAACACCACAGTAACTCATGGAGAATGACCATATATGTCGGAGAAATTCCTTCCAAACACTGGATTTCAAGACTCAAAAAGATCAATTGGGTAAAAACATGACATCTCCAGCAGACGCTCTTGAGAGCAGCCGAGCTCTGGACCCCTCATATAATCCCGAACTGAGCAAGCTCATGCAGTTCCAGATGGCTGAATGCTTCCCAGGGACAGATCACCGTAATATCTGCAAGAGATAGAAGAATACCTCAGCGAACTACTCACCCGGAAGAGGAGCCTCTCCTGTGAGAGGAAAAGATGCCAGTTATATACACATATGCCCCTCCATTCCTGGGAAGGCATGTGGAATGGCCCTATAGCCAAGGAGGAAATGAACACTCACATCACTGTCACACACACACACACACACACACACACACACACACACACACACACACGGGTGGTATTGGGTTCATTCTGTACTCTCTTTGGGAAGATGGAAGCTCGCTGCATCTCCTAACCCTGAGCCACCAAGAGGAGCATAGAGTGGAATTCCCATCAGGCCAAGGATTAAATTAAGAAGTGGGACCCTTTAAGTTCCCACAGTCTGGGTGGACTCTCTTCTCACTGATGCAAGGTGAGCTTCTCAGGTTTGTTCTTTACATTTCCAGGCATCTGCATCAGACATGTACTGAGAAACAACCCCAGAGCATCATCTAGTCACGCCTCTGGTTCAGGGAAGATGGTACCTCCCATCCCCCGCCCATTTCCAGAGAAGTCAGCATTAGTCAAAAAACTATGCTTACATAGAAGGAGCTCAAACCAGGGCAAAGACCCCCGGCCTTCCTTCTCTTTCCAGCAGAGGAGTTCACCTATCCCCCTATGCTTGTCTAAATGTACCTGATCACCTTACAAAAATTAGTACCTAAGGGAGTAGCAAGTAAGCTTTACAAATGCCATAAGACCTATTTGAGATCCAGGGGTGACATTTGACTACCAAGTTGAATACACTGGTTACAGTGAGTGCTACCCTGTATCTAGTGTACTAGACAAGTTCAACATTATATCCACACAAAAACCCTAATTGTGCATACACACACACACACACACACACACACACACACACACACACACACACACGCTCAAGTATGAACATGCAACAGTTTTACTCACTAATGCTAATATTTAAATGGAGATGTCCTTCAATAGAATTCGCTCATAAAATGAAATATTATTTAGCAATAAAAATAAAAGAACTATTGGGTCTGGAGAGATAATTCAGTGGTTAAGAGCACTGGCTGCTCTTTTAGAGGACCTGGGTTCAGTTCCCACCCATACAGTAGCTCACTATAACTCTATAACCATCTATAACTCTATTTCCAGGGGATCTGATGCCCTCTTTTGGCTTCCGCTGACCCCAGGCACACACATACATAAATGTAGGCAAATAAGCATACACATAAAATGAAAATAAATAAAGAAATGAGCTATTGAAGCATAAGAAGACAGAAGACACTTGAATAAATATTGCTAAATGGAAGAAATCAGGATAGGAAAGCTAAATACTATAATTTAATGTATAATTCTAACTCTATAACATTTCAGAAAATGTGAAAGTAAGACCCAGTAAAAAGTCTTGTGGTGTTCAGAGGTGTGCAGTTAGGGAAGGAAGACATTACCCAGTAGAGGTGAGGGAATATTTGGGACAATGAAACCAATCTATATGACACAATACGACAGTTACACAACCGTACATGGTCATTAGACTCCTTAGAACCATGCGGTACCAATAAGCTTCAAGCTACATGTGCTACGGCCTTTTGTCAGGACAGCAAGAGTGACTGATAGAGGCTCCTCACACTTGACAAGTGCCAGACTCGTGCATTATGTCGGTTACCGGGCACTGTGTAAAAGCAGGAGTGATGATGATACGAGTTCTCTGGACCTTCTGCTAAATCCTTCTGTGAACCTAAAACTTCTTCACAAAAAAAGTCTGTTCATTTTCTAAAGCCACCTATAGCAATTACAATCAATATCTAATGAAAGACAATAGTCCCACCAACTGAAAGGATTGCATCAGATGCACTCAGTGTGTGTGTGTGTGTGTGTGTGTGTGTGTGTGTGTGTGTGTGTGTGTGTGTGTGCACCCCTGTCCTGTTGTTGCTGTGTGCCCTTGTCCCTGGTGCCATGTGTACCCACATCCCTGGTGCCGTGTGTACCCCTGTTCCTGATGCTGTGTGCACCCCTGTTCCTGGTGCTGTGTGCACCCCTGTTCCTGATGCTGTGTGTACCCCTGTTCTTGGTGCTGTGTGCACCCCTATTCATGGTGCTGTGTGCACCCCTGTTCTTGGTGCTGTGTGCACCCCTGTTCTTGGTGTTGTGTGCACCCCTCTTCTTGGTGTTGTGTGCACCCCTGTTCCTGGTGTTGTGTGCACCCCTGTTCTTGGTGTTGTGTGCACCCCTGTTCCTGGTGCTGTGTGCACCCCTGTTCCTGATGCTGTGTGCACCCCTGTTCTTGGTGCTGTGTGCACCCCTGTTCCTGGTGCTGTGTGCACCCCTGTTCCTGGTGCTGTGTGCACCCCTCTTCTTGATGCTGTGTGTACCCCTCTTCTTGGTGTTGTGTGCACCCCTGTTCTTGGTGTTGTGTGCACCCCTGTTCTTGGTGTTGTGTGCACCCCTGTTCCTGATGATGTGTGCACCCCTGTTCCTGATGCTGTGTGCACCCCTCTTCTTGGTGTTGTGTGCACCCCTGTTCCTGGTGCTGTGTGCACCCCTGTTCTTGGTGTTGTGTGCACCCCTGTTCCTGGTGCTGTGTGCACCCCTGTTCCTGATGCTGTGTGCACCCCTCTTCTTGGTGCTGTGTGCACCCCTGTTCCTGGTGCTGTGTGCACCCCTGTTCTTGGTGCCGTGTGCACCCCTGTTCTTGGTGTTGTGTGTACCCCTGTTCCTGATGATGTGTGCACCCCTGTTCCTGATGCTGTGTGCACCCCTGTTCTTGGTGCTGTGTGTACCCCTGTTCTTGGTGCTGTGTGCACCCCTGTTCTTGGTGTTGTGTGCACCCCTGTTCTTGATGTTGTGTGCACCCCTGTTCCTGATGAACATTCCTGATGTTATGTGTACCCACATTCCTGGTGCTGTGTGCACCCCTGTTCCTGATGCTGTGTGCACCCCTGTTTCTGGTGCCATGTGCACCCACATTCCTGGTGCCATGTGCACCCACGTTCCTGATGTTATGTGTACCCACATTCCTGGTGCCATGTGCACCCACATCCCTGATGATATATGTACCCCTGTTCCTGTTGCTGTGTGCACCCCTGTTCCTGGTGCTATGGGATGTGAAGAAGAGGAACTTGGTAAGGAGTAGGTCGCCAGGCAGAGTGGAGGGGTTCTCTAGACGCTGCCATTTTTTCCAATTCCTCAAGCTGTGGCTTCACACTAGCCCTCAGTCTGCCTCAGATTCCTCTTCTGAAAAATGAAGCTGGAATGGATCAACTCCTGTTTCACAAGCCTACAGCTGACTGTGGCATGCACTCAAAGGCTGTTTAATAAAACAACAGCTATCATTAGACCTCACACTTACTTTCATTTCCTTTAGCATTTCTGCATGTAGGTAGACACGTACTTAAAAGGTTAAATTAAACTCCCACCTTTCTGTCTTCAAAGGATCACATGTCATGGGTGTTGTAGCTTTAAACTGACCCTTGAAGCTTGAAGTTTCTGCAAAGAGGAAACTTCAAAGCCACATGCTCACTTAAATGTGTCATAGCTCACCTGTTCCTAGCCCCTCCATGCCTGGGATGTCATCTCCAAACCTATGCAAAAAATAGATAGATAAAAGAGACATTAGCTGAGACCAGAGGAGAAGGACCCTGAAGGTGAATTACTCCCGGGAAGATTTCTTCACTCAAAAGAAAAGAAACTCTAAGTCTTTTATTTGAGAAACTTTTATCCACATTGAACAAGATCCAAGAAGATGTCACTCTGTCAGGGGTGCAGTGTATCGTTAGTGGGGAGTGGATGTACTTTACCTCTAGAGACATAGCCTAAAACTACAGGGTAGCCTTGAACCTGAATTACTGATTCTTCTGCATCTCCAGAGTTTTGAGATTACAGGCATGAGCTCTCACACCGTTAGTGCAGTGCTGGGAGCTGAAAAGAGGGCTCCCTGCAGGCCAGTACGCACCCTACAACTGACCCCAAGTGTCATTTAATGTGGATAATTAATTCACATTAATGTGAATACAAGTTTCATTGTATGTGCGTATGTGTGTCTGTCTATCTGTGAATGTGTGTCTGTCTGCCTGTATCTGTGTCTGTCTGTCTCTCTGTGTGCATCTGTCTGTAAGTGTATGTGTGTCTTTCTGTGTCTGTCTGTCTGTTTCTGTGTGTGTGTGTCTATCGGTATGTGTATGTGTCTGTCTATCTGTATCTGTGTCTGTCTGTCTCTGTGTGTATGTCTGTCTGTATATGTCTGTGTCTGTCTGCATGTTTCTTTGTGTGTGTGTCTATCTGTATGTTTATGTGTCTGTATATCTGTTTGTGTGTCTGTCTGTCTCTCTATGTGTGTCTGTCTGTATCTGTCTGTCTGTATGTATGTATGCCTGTCTGTCTGTGTCTGTCTGTGTCTGTCTGTCTGTGTGTCTGTCTGTGTCTGTCTGTCTGTATCTGTCTGTCTGTCTTGTGTCTGTCTGTATCTGTCTGTCTGTCTGTATCTGTCTGTCTGTATCTGTGTCTGTGCATACACCATGGTGTGCATGTGAAGGTCAGGTGACAACTTCATGGTGTCTGCTCTCCTGCCACCTTCATGTGGGTGGGCTCTAGGGACTGAACTCTGAACACTGCATTGTCTAGTAAGTGCCTTTGCCCACAAAGCCATCCTGCCAGCCCTCAACCTTCATGTCTTAAATATGGAGATGATTAAGCAGTAAGACATTAACGTTAGTTAATTAATCTACTGCATTCTGGGAGTCACATTAGGCACAGAATATTAAAGAAAAACCAAATTTTCTCTGAGTGATCTTAGTCCGAGTGAAAAAATATAAATAAATAAATGTAATATAAAATAGAACAAGTTATGGTGGCTGAATGCATCATAATATAAACACGAAGATGATGATGAAATTTAAGTAGCAGTAAAAGAGAAATTAACATCTGTGGAATGTGTTGAAAATAAAATTTTTCCAAAAGCAAAAGAGAAATATGGAGAACTGAGGAAATAAGACATGAAGATAAACAAAAAAGCCAACAACAACACAAACGAAGTAAAGCCCGGTGTTCTTTGGAAACGACTGATGGTCCAGAACTCCAGGTTAAAGCACTGGGCGCGTCTGCATAGAGAAACAGAACGTGGAGCTGCAGAGAGGGCTCGGCAGTCAAAAGAGCCGCTGCTCTGGCGGAGGACCTGAGTTTGGTTCCCATTACTCATCATGGGCAGCTCCCAGTAGCCTGTAATTCCAGTTCTGAGAACCCGACGCCCTCCTCTGGCCTCTCCTGGAACCTGCACACCTCTAAAACACACACACCCACACATAGACATACCACATGCACACATAATTAAAATAAAGCAAGTTGTTTAAAATGATTTTTTAAAAAGACTAGACAAGAAAAATCTGGAAGGTCAAGTTAAAGGTCACTGTGAAAAGCTCTAGTTTTGTTTTAAAACTGGCCATTCTCCTGGGGACTTGCAAGAGAAACAACTCCCCCTGACATGGACAGCTTCCGCAAAGATGGGCTGGAGAGGAAAACGGAGGGCGAGATGGAAGGTTCTGTGATTCTGCGTAATAGCGTGATCGGTATGTTCTCAGAACTAAAGCTATCTGTGGAAACAGAGGATGACAGGCCGCTTTCGTTCTCGTCTTACACTTACCCTTTCACACCTTTCTTGGGAGGCTTGCTCTTGAACTGTCGGGTCTGTCTCTGCTTGAACTTGGGGGGACCTTTGCGTGGGGTAATAGGACCCTGGCTTGGCGCTGGAGGACCCAGAGAAGTGGTGTCACTCATCTTGGCGGTCCCTGGATGGCTGGTGTTGTGCTTGCTGGCTCTCTGGAGAGGAGAAGGAAATGAGGAGGCTCCAAGTCAAAAGGACTCAGTTCTCACACCTGGGAGCGCTTCGAGCTTGGCAGTTTGTGTTGGTGCACGCAAACCAGCAGAAATGATTTTTAGAAAATATGCTATAAATCAATGAAGATGTCCCATAGAGTGCAATGGTCTGTCAACTAAGAGATTTTGAAAATGAAAGATATAGTTGTATGAGGGTTGGGGACATAACTCAGTTGATAGAGTGTTTGCCTAGCACACACAAAGACCTAAGTTCAATTCCCAGAGCTGAAAAACCAGGACTGATGTTGCACACCTGTAATCCAAGTATTCCACAGGTAGAGACAGGAGGATCTGAAGCTCCAGGTCATCATTAGCTATATAGCCAATTTGAGGTCACTCTCTCAGATACAGGAGACCTTGTCTCAAAAAAAAAAAAATCTTGATATCGTATGTTTCCCCCCAAAATCTGATAGTATTTCATCATAATACCATATTTCCCCTCAAGGAATCCTGTGAAAAGAAGGGGAATTATCTGAGTGATATGAAGGATTCGAACAGTTATAGATATTTGAAGCTTTATCTTCTTCCAGCTACCGACTAGCCTGCCCCTAAAAAAACACTTTCTACAATGTGTTCTTTGCGTTGGTGTTCTTTGCTTAATCCTCACTTAACTCAGAGACTTTTCTCTTAGTTCTGAGGAGCAACAACACAGCCAGCTGGACAGAAGGACTTCGGACCTATGGACAACAGTGAATATATTCAGTGGAGCCTGAAACAAACATGCAAAAGTGGAGGAAGAGACCATGGGGATTGGCTAATGCTTTCCTTCTCTAACTCCGTGTCCGGACAGAGAGTTCATCAGCCACACATCTCTCAGATATCTTCTACATTATCTCTTATGCAAACCATGAGCCTATCCAACACTGTATACCCAGAGGAATTTGGCTGCAGACATATGCCCAGCCCTATAAACATAAGCCATAGGAGAAAATATCAACAAAGGTAAACACAAAAAAATTAAACTTCAAGGGTAGAGAGATGGCTCAGAGGTTAAGAGTGCTGGCTACCCTTGCTGAGGATCAGGGTTCAGCTCCCAACACCCATGTGGCTGCTCACAACCATCTGTAACTCCAGCTCCAGAGATTCTAATCTCTTTTTCTGTCCTCCAAAGACAGCAGGCAAGCCTGTGGTACGCAGACATACATGCAAGCAAAGCACCCATGCACATAAAATAAAATGTAAAATAATTTTTATATTTTATTAGTTTCAACATTTTTTTCCTTTTCTTTCTTAATATTCAAGAAAGTTTACCTTGGGAAGGAAGGTTCTGGAAAGCTCCAAAGAACTCATGAATAGCCTTTACCTCTTCCTCTGAGGCAACTCTTTCCATGATCTAGTGCATGGGAGCTTTTTTGCAGAAGGTGCCTTAATTAGCCTTTCCCAGATTATCCTGATGCTCTTAGTGTGATCCTGTCCTTGTCCACCTTTAACTAGGGTTATTTACTCCACCTCACTGGGATGCCCTCTAATGTTACATGTGGGACTTCCACCTCAGAATCTTTTCTTTGGACTTTGAAGACTCTTTGTCCATATTTCTTCTCCCCATCATGGTAACCATTCTTGCCTTGCAGGTTTCCAACTGTTTGTAGGAACACAGAGGCCAATCTGTGGACAGCGCCAGGGATGAACTTGACTGCTCTCTTGTACTGTTGCTACTTTAACCTTTATCCCTACTGGAATGTCCTTTGTGTGTCCACTCTTTCAACTTGGAGTCATTTCTGTAGTCTTGACACCTACAATAGTTGTTGGCACATAAGTGACTTTGCTGTAGGTGCTGTGTTTGTTGAGTTGGTGAATAAATTAGTGAAGGGATTCAGGGAAAATCTTTGCCCGTGAATGATGAGATCTGACCTCATGACTCATGGAGAAAACAGTAGCTGACCCCACCTCACGATGCCCTCAGTGGCTTTAGGGAGAACAGTGCCAGCTCCTCTGTTTACTGAAACTCATTCTTGTGCAGCAGGCCTCTGTCACCAGGCAAGGTTTGTGCCTCTCCAAAGTGTGGTTGGAAATCCAGGAGGTGTGGAGGACAGTGAGCCAAGGACAGCATCGCTCACAGCATGTGTGACCAGTAACTGGCATATCACAGCTGGGCCAAAGCCACAGGGAAAAGCCGGAGAATTGATCTCAGACCAGACTTGTGGACTTCCCAAAACAGTAATAAACCATGAGTCCCCTACCTCCAATCTGAAAATCTAATAGAATTGAGATTGCCAGCTAAGTAATAATATTTTAGTGAAAATATATTTAAAAAATTTTATCTATCAGAGATTCCAAATGAGCTGAGAATTTTTTTATTTTATCTAGAAACTATTGCATTGGAGACAGAGTTCAAAATATAAAGGATTAAGGTAACTTCCACAGGTCAAATCACCCTCTGGAAGTAACAGTATAAAGAGAGGACCAACTACATGTGTGGTTTAAGATTTCACAAAACTATGTGTCCTTGGTAAGTTTCACACTCCTTTCTGGACTCCTCTCCATAAAATGAATCAAAGAAAATTAAAGAAGTTAATAAAAGTATTGTATCTGACACAAAGTTTTCAAAATGAGGAATTCTATACGAGACCCTTACGAAGCCAAGAAAGTCCTATGAACAGACTGTGGTTTGTAGTTGTTGTGTTCACTCTTTACTCTTCGGCTCTTTGATCTTGGTGGGCCCACCCAGCTCCCAAATAAATACATGGAGCTTTTTATTTTATTATGAATGCCTGGCCTTAGCTTGGCTTGTTTCTAGCCAGCTTTTCTCACCTAAATTATCCTGTCTACCTTTTGCCTCTGGGCTTTCACCTCTCTCTGTTTCTGTATCTTTTCTTTCCTTCTTACTCCATTGCTGGCCCCTGGTGTTCCCCTCTTCTTCTCCTTTTCTTGCTCCTCGATCTCTCTTCCCAGATTTCTCCTCCTATTTATTCTCTCTGCCTGCCAGCCCAACTAGCCTTTCTCCTGCCTAGCTATTGGCCATTCAGCTCTTTATTAGACCAATCATATGTTTTAGACAGGCACAGTAACACAGCTTCACAGAATTAAACAAATGCAACACATCTTTGCATCATTAAACAAATGTTCCACAGCATAAAGAATGTAACACATCTTAAAATAATATTCCACACAATGGTTGCCACATGTGTTCACCTCTGGAGTCACCTCTTCCTCAGCCAAGTGCTAAGGAGTCCTTGTTCTGCACTTGTGTGGACTGTCATTGGCCCCTATTGGTGGCTCCTTCAATTGCCCCAACTATTAACTGATTTCTGGTCTCAAAACTCTGCTTCAAGATGCCTTTTTGAATCCCTTTGACTCCTCATAGCATATCTCAGAACTTAAAAACTGTACTTAATGTTTCTATCTCCTCATCATACTTCCTCCGTGGCATAACTTCTCTTGTATATTTATGTAGTGTTGAGGGTGTGCCTCCAGGCTTGGACAGTACTCACGTGTGCTTTAAGTTTAATGTGCTGTATGAAGAGGCACCAGGCTGGAAAGAGGACTCAATGCTTAAGAGCATGTACTACTCCTCCAAAGGACCAGAGTTTAGTCTCCAGCACCCACATTATGTGGTTCACAGCCACCTGGACCACCAGCTCCAGGGATATCCAATGCCTCTTGTCTCAAGCATCCATGACCTTCAGCCTCCATGAGCACATGCACCAACATGCACAAATACTCACATGTACATACACACATGTAGAATTAGAAATAATGAAAAATAAAAGTGAGGTCTCCTTACAGACTTACAGAGTAGTCATCAGGCTGAACGCTGGTGTTTGCTCTGTGAATGACTGCTGGTCTGTGAGCTTGATGCGGATGCTGCTGCAATTTAGAAGAGCTGAGAAACCTGACTGGTCCTCAGAGTTTCTGTCACACACCTAGCCTCTAGGTCTCTACAAAGCCTTTGGGGAGACCAGGACAAATAAGACCCTTTCTTTCCTTGGAAGAGAATCCTGTTGACTATAGACATCACCAAAGGCTAAGGTCACCTTGGCTGCACTTCCTAGGAAATGTGTGCTTCCCTTCTGTCCTGAAACTGAATGTGCCCTCACTGAATATCAGACTTGGCTTTAGTTCACACTGTGTCTCTCCAAATGTCAAAGGACCCAATATTTTGTGAGAGAACCCATGTTCCTGTGTTTAGTGCAATGCTTATCCTTCCTGTTTCTGAGGTTACAAAATGCTCTTCCGTAGAAAGAGGTGGATGTGGCAAAGTGATGTGCTGAGGCACAGCGTGTCAGGTGGCTGAGGATATGTCACATTAAACCCAGCGCAGCAATGCTTAACTGTGAGAATGACAGAGGACAATCATGTGTCAAACCTCAGCAGGACAAAGCAGGTGTGGAAGGACTGGCACAGGCTTCCTGATGCGGCTTCACCGCCCAAGCCCTCCAGATCCTCCTCAGAAAAGACATCTATGAAGATGGGCTGACTCGTGCTCAAGGAACTGAGAAAGGGGCAGACATCGGCTCTAACTAAATGTTACCAGGGTTGCTCTGAGACATCGAGAATCAAGTAAGTTGAAGATCCAAGAGAGAACCAGGGCAAGGCCACTAAAAGACAATCCAGAATGTACCTTGCTTCAGAATAGAGCAAACAAACATTTTAACCTCGAAGGGACAAGACAACGCCACCCACACTGCCCTGCGGTCACCCCATGCTGCTTTCTCCTTATCCTCACACTGTCCTGTCACCCTCAAGTTCATCCTGGGAGTAAAGAACTGTTTGTGCTGTGGTTGTGTAATGCCCCAGATCCATCCTTTCCCAGAAAACTGTTTGCCAGGAAGCCACAAACAGGGAGGGTCCCTCTAGGTTCCTTGTGAACAAATTCAGTAATCAAGGTTTGCAGTGAACGGTAATAACCACGATTCACGTACTAGTTTGTCACATGACATTATAAAGAGGTTTGGGTGTGTTCTGTCCCATGTTCAACCCCAACCTCAGGTCAGGCCCACAAGCCCAGAGTGTTCTCTTCTTGTATGTCTTTGTTTTACAGCCAGATCAACCCTCCAAGACCCTTTAGTTAGTTATTATTGTGCTCAAACTTACCACGAGTTAATAACTCAGGGAGCTGAACGCTGTTCCTGTAACTCCTCAGTTGCCTTTTCCACAGCAGACAAAAGGATCTTTGCATCCTGATTTATCCCTCCTGCCAATTATCTCCTTCTGCTTAAGCCCAACGTCAGAAGCTTAGAACGCCAAACAGATGCAAAGAAAGGAGGAGCTGAGGTGAGATGGAGACAGACTTAGCAGTTTCCTGATAAAGAAGCTCTTAGCAAATGACCAAGGCATTCTCTAGCAGTGAAGAAACATGAAGTTCACAGAGCACAAAATGTTGATAACCTGGGACAGAAGCTCAGTTTTTGATTCAATATTATTTGTGTTTCTCCATTACCACTTTTGGTTTTTACTGAACCTATTTCTCCTTTTGCTTTCACACACACACACACACACACACACACACACACACACACACACACACACACACGCAGGAGAGCCATCTTCCATGCCCTCTACCACTGTAAGGATGCTGTTTATGGAGGCAGTGAGGGAAGAGTGCAGAACAGCGCTGGCTAAGGGACACTGTGCATACTTCCTCATAGAGAAGAAACTCAAAGATCAGTCACTGTGAGCTCAGTGACATTTGATAGAGCATGAGTCCAGGAGATTGCTAGGACCTTAGAACAGGTGACGTTTGAAAACCAGTCATGAGATTGTCCCTTTTCACTATTTGGAGGCTTTCCTTCAATTACTACAATCCTTAGCTCAGTCCTCAAAGGGCATCTAGCTCCTAGTATTAATTTGTGTGTGGCTTTACATGAGTTTTAAAGAGGTCTTAGCTCATGGGCCTTTCACTCTTTTGCTACTTTTATTATCGAGAAATTCAGTGACACATTCTAAATTGCTTATAAAGTTGGTAGTAGTGGGGAGCAAGGTGGACACTTGTAACCCCTTGAATCTTTAATGGTCTCTCAACTACATCATAGTAACGCAGACAAGGAATGAGATGCATATTTTCTGTTCACTCCCATGCTTTGCCTTAGAACTGGAGTACACCTTCCTCAAATTTCTACTTGTTAGAGAATCACTTTCCTCAAGATTACAGAGCTGGAATGCCAATTTATCCTCCCAAGGCAAGGAGAGATCCCCAACCTGAGCCCCAAGCAGATTACAAGAGTAGCTAAGCAGCTTAAGGGTTCCTTACATGCTTTCCCGAGCTCTTTACCAAAATGAGAGCCATTTTGAAAGCAACAAATTAGAACCAACAAAGTGTTTAGTCCTGGGCTGGGGCCCTCTACTCTCTCCTGGACAATTCCATGATCATTCACGTCTGCACTTCTATACACCAGGCACAGGGAGGTTTGGATGCTTACTTGTTGGAGCCTCAAATATTAGTCTCCACTTCCTCAAAGAAGGACTTAATACACAAAGGCAGTGTGAATAGCTGTAAGGTGTGTGTTCCAGAACATTGTCAGTCAAAGAGCAGCACCCTGGGGAGATGATTAAGCAGGTAAAAGTGCTTGATGTCGTGGATGAGGACCTGAGTTCAAATATCCAAAGCTGTGTAAATAGTGGGGCATAGTTAAGTGTGTGCCTATAACCACAGTACTGAGTGGGTGGAGCAGACAGGAGGAACACTGGGGTTTCGTGACCACTAGCCAAGCCCAGGCTCGGTGAGAGACTCTGACTCATGGGGACGAAGCAGAGAATGACAGAGCAGAGAACTCGACATCCTCCTCTGGTCTCCATGTGCATAGGTGTGCATGCTCACACACAAACACACATGTGCTTACTCTCTCTCTCTCTCTCTCTCTCTCTCTCTCTCTCTCTGTGTGTGTGTGTGTGTGTGTGTGTGTGTGTGTGTGTGTGTGTGTGTGTATGTGTGTGTGTCCCAGGTAGGCTTTCAGTGCCTGCTGCGCACTTACTGAATCAACCTGCATTATATCAGGTCTCCACTGACCTGTTTGCACAGTAGCATTTGAGAAGTGTTATTCCAGGCCTGTGCATCACTTGTTTGCTCTGGGTGCAGACTCTCCACCTTCTTATGTGTTAACGGAGTGATTGACAGTGCCAGGACTGAACTTCCAGCATTCTTAAGAAAGTCCATGCTCATGAAAGAGAATAGAAAGCTAATTTTTTTTCTAACTTTAATTTTCATGAACTTTTCACTTTTTGGTGGTGGGTAAGCACATAAACATGTATTTAATAGTGAAAATATAAAATCCAATGTGAAGTTTCAGAGCTTCAGAATGGCTATTCTAACTGCATAGAATTTCCTTAAAGTGTATAGACATTGGGTCTGGTTAATTTTGGCAGGTTTTTTTTTTTAATTGACAAATACCAAATAAGGTTTTATCAAAAATAAAAAAGTTAATAAAACATTTGAGAGATGGCAGACTGGAGACAAGCCTTGGGGTCCCAGGAATAATGTAGCTGTCAAGTTCCTGTATTTTCTTTTTGCTTCGTGGATCCTGACCCATGTTTGGGAAAGTGCAACAAATACCAAAACTACGAAAAAAGTGAACATGTCTCTCCAAAAGCCTATCTCTCTAGACAAATGACCAGGAAAGGTGCGGTCCAGCAAAACAGAAAATATTTAGATAAAAAACACTCCTACTGTAGTCAACATCACAGAAGAAAACTTAATGAAGATGGAGAGGAGCCATCCTGGCTCAGGTCCTCTCCATCAAGCCAATTGTAATGGGCCTTCTTTTTCTTCACCTAAATGGTGTCAGAGAAGTTCAAGTGAAGAATCTGAATTTTTTTAAACCTTCATTAAACAATAATAAAGCACCTAAAGAAATAGTTTAAATTTTGATGCATATTTTGGAATAAAATGAAAGACCCACACACATGTATTTAACATATGGGCTCAGCCACACAACAGAGAACATAGCAAAGGACCAATGAGCTTAAAAATAGGGCTGTAGAAATGATGCCATGTGAACAAAAGTGGAAAATTTAGCAAGACAGTTTAACAAAAACTCAGAGACCTGTGAGACTGAACGACCCAGCACCATCAGCATCTATGGAGGACGGTGGCAAGGAATCGGCTGGAAGGGAGCCGGAAGTACTGGGTGATAATTTCACAGATTTGGTGAAAGACATACACATTTGGAATTAAGAACCTTGCAAACTCCAATGGATTAAACTCAAAGAAATCTGTGCCAAAATAGATCATAACCAAGCTTCAGAAGGCTGTGTTTCAAAACTGGAAAGTAGTGGAAGCAAAACACCTTATCTTTGTGGGGTAAGTGACTAGAATGTCAGTGGGGATCTCACTGGAAACCAGAAGGTTGTAGACCTTCCAAGTTCTTAAAGAGAAGACTGACGACCTTAAATTCTATATGGAGTAAGTGTATCCTTCTGAATTAAGAGGAAATAAAGACACTGGCAGGCAGAGGAAGATGAAGCATGTGTCCAACTAGAAAGTGGACAATAAAAGAATGACTGAAGTGATTAATCAAAATAAAGAGAAAGTTTGGAACACCTGGAAAGAAAAGAACAAAAAAAAAAAAACATATACAATGGGAATTGTAGAAGAAAAAGGACCCTGCCCCCTTCAGCAGGGCTGGGTGGAGGAAAAATAATTGCTGAGGCCACTGAAATTGTCTAAGGAGTTGCTTGCTCTCAAATCTACAAGGAATGCACCCATCATTTTCTGTTCAAGTGGACAATGATATGTGATTCACATTGCGTTAAAAATCTGTACCTTCTGGTTTCATTGATAACACTCTAGCAAGTCAGAACCACAGCACCAGAGAGTAAACCAGAGGTTAAACAAGCTGGTCATTACTGCAAAAGGAAAACAAGAGGGATAGTTTGAGGGACAGGCAACATGGTACCTGGATACACAGCTGATGATGGGGACAGGCAACATGGTACCTGGATACACAACTGATGGGGACAGGCAACATGGTACCTGGATATACAACTGATGGGGATAGGCAACGTGGTACCTGGATATACAACTGATGGGGACAGGCAACATGGTACCTGGATGCACAACTGATGTACATTCCAACACTCAGGTAGACCACCAAGAAAAAACTATTCTTGTTCCTTTAAAATTAAATACAGTAAGTCGCCGGGTGGCGGTGGCGCACGCCTTTAATCCCAGCACTCAGGAGGCAGAGGCAGACGGATCTCTGTGAGTTTGAGGCCAGCCTGGGCTACAGAGCGAGATCCAGGAAAGGCGCAAAGCTACACAGAGAAACCCTGTCTTGAAAAAAACCAAATAAATAAATACAATAAGTCAGAGTTTTAGGCTATGTCCTATACATTTGTAATCTTTAGCGTCTGATCCTTTCTGGCAGATGGGGAAGGGCTGTTGATCCTACATAAGGAAGTCATCACAGGTCAGGTATCAAGTAATTAACAGTTTAGCTGTGCTGTAAGCTGCTTAACTTCAGCGCCAATCCCAAAGCTTTCTTTGACGTTTCTTAAAATATACGAGAGTAGGAAAACACATGTTTTCTCCATGTTTGGAGTGCCCTAGACAGGGTTTCCCACTTTTACTAATGCATATAGAGCCTGAGGGGAGCATACAACCTGGGTCCCTCTTTTCCTTAATGACCCACATTTTGAGTAACCATAATAGAATTTTGAACCTTGAAAAGGGGTAATTTGTTACTTTAAAATGTAATATTCTCTTTTAGAAAAGAGAATTTAGAAGAACATTCCAACTCCTTCCATGAGGGAGGTCTGATTTCCCAAAGCATCAAATCCGAAAGAGATGGCAAAAAACTGACATGTACAAGCCAGTATCTTTAATGCATTTATACACAAAAATGCATAGTACATCAAACATAGCAGAATATGCAAATAATAATACACCATCAACAAATGTATTGATTGAAACTAATCAATATAATCCATCATATAAAGAATAATACACTGTAAACAAATGGGTTGTTGAAACCAATCAATATAATCCATCATATAAAGAATAATACACCATAAATAAATGGGTTGATTGAAATCAATCATAATCCATCATAATAAGTAAATGAAGACTAAATTAACTAAATGACTAAAGAAGAAAAATTGTATTATCTGTCAATTGATGAAAACACTGGGGGCGGGCAGTTAACAAAAACCAACTGTGTGTGTGAAGAAGCCATATGATCCTAATGAGTTGTTTATCAGGAGGCCCCAAGGCTCCTAAAACAGGAGTGGCTCTTGTTATTCCTCTTGGTCACCCACCAGAACTGTATGGCAAGCCCCTACGGCTGAAGACACCGTGTGCCTTGGTTGTAAGCTATAGAGAAATCAAACTGAACTGAGCTGGAAGCTTCCTCCCGACTGGTTATTTTTCACAGTATCTGGAGGTGCTATGGAGGCTACCAGGGGAGAAAAGGCATATGTGGTCTTACCCAGATGTGAATCCTACAGCTTATAATACCAAACCAAGAGGCAAGGTTTGCTCACTGGTGTGATAGTGGGCACAACTATTATGGGCACAACCAATCGCTTTCTAATTGGGTTCTAGGCCCACTCCAAAGGAAGGCCTGGCTGTACACAGTGAAAATAAGGAACAG